AAAATGCCATCACACCCTCTTGTCGTGCTAAATCGATCTGTGAGAGTCTATGGTTTACGCGTTATTTTCTTATAAACAGCTATCTCCGCTCCGACGGTTATTGCATTTCAAATGGCTGATTTTACCTTAGGCCGAAAATGGAAAATGTATACCTATACGTGTATATTGCCAATAATGGAAAATGGGATATTTTTTGGAAACTTATATAATAATCGAAGTTGGTTTTTTTTGGATCGTGCGGGTTTTTAAGTTAATGGAATGGAATTTTGAATGTGCACATTTTTTCAAATGTTTATAAAATCTAGTTTAATGTAAATTACTCTTCATCCCATGGATTTTAAACACAATCGCTATTATTTTATCCATTTTAAGAGAGGATATGAACAATGAAATAACTACTTTACATTTTGCAATCAACTTTATGCTATATGAAACATTAAATGCACATCACATTAAAACCAAAAATCGATGTGTATTACTCCATTTCGATTACTAATTATCTACATATTCAGCCAATGCTGTCCTCTATAAAATGAAAATTTGTACGGGAATTAAATTTAACCAACAATAATGTACGGTAATAATAATTACGATATAAATGTGATTATACATAGGGAATTAAAAAATAACTAGCAATTTTATGTACCGCATTTCCAAATGTTTACATTTTGCATTTTCCCTCTAATTTTACTATAAATCATATCTACTACAAAACACCTCTTTGAAGATCACTGTAACTAAAATTTGTCGAGGTAATATTGCCTTTGAACTCCATTTTAACAACCACTCGTACTCTATGTTGCACGAGCTATAGTTGGAGGTTTGCTCTTTGCCGAGAGCGGTATATCGTGCGTTATTTTTAAATTCTCACACTGCTTTTGGGCACATCCTGTATTTAAGGATTAATTAATAACGTTTCACGTATACATGTATCGTAGGATACAATAAAGGCTTAATTAAAATGTTAATGCTTGGCGAACTTCATCGTATAATAATTGGACTGCTTGTCATGTAACACAGCTGCGCTTCGACACTTCATTTTTGGCTATGAAATATGCATTAGTTTTCACTGAAGGATTGTTTTAACAAACACCCACAATTTATAAAAGCAACGTTTATTGTGTATTGCCCTAAATGAGAATTCATTAAGAAGATCGAAATTTCAATTGATTTGGGGCCGTATAAAGATAAATTACCGGTTTCTACTATTAAACCAATTTCTATTTTCGGCCAGAGCGTTTTAGTTGCTTAATGTTTCCATTGGTCGGTTTAGAGAATTAGAGAAGAGCCATTAATCCTGTATAGATCCAATGCAAGTCTCTATCTCGGCTTGTAGTTTGTTCAGTCAACAGAGTCTGTTTTCAATATGTGAAATCTGTATACAAAACTCTTTGTATGCCTGCGAAGTAAACAAAAACTAGTGGTTTCAGCAAATAACACGCTTTACGGATTAAGTTAATCTGATATTTAAAAGCTGACGTTTCCGCTATCCCTCTACGTATACCATAAATAACATCTTGTAATGAAGTTAGTATCCTACCATTATATAGCAGCTTTGTTTGGATATTATTTAATCTAGTTTAAAATGACGAAATTTTACAAATTTGTAATAAAATATGTCCCTCTAACTTCATGCGTTGTGTCTGTAACAAAAGCAGACGAGCGAAACGCTGTATAGGAGCTGATAATAAAAGATAACGAGGAAGTCCACTGCATTAAAAGCACCAAGACCAGTTTGTGATGTAAATTTCTAAACTTTTGGTTTGTGTTTAGCTCATGTTCTAAAATGTGCCGCAAAGTTTGTTTGATTGCTGGTTTAACTCTAACACGAGAGTTGGAATACACTGCAAAAATTTCAATTCTCTATATGATTAACTACGTATATTTTTATCCAAATGTAAATATTTCTTAATCAGCCTTCATACTTTTTAAATTAAATGTTTTATGTAATCATCGATTGTTCCAAAATTCGAATTGTTAATGGATTAATAGGTATATCTACTTTGTTTTCGTAGTGTAAGTTTAGGAACAATATTTGATTCTGTTTGTATAATAGCAAGTGGGAAACATATGCATGAAGAACGACCATGTTGGGCTCTGAATGCTCATTTCAACTGGAACTGTTAGTGTAACGGGTAACACTTGGCCAAATAAACCAAATAAACAGCTGTAATAATAATAACAATGAGAGTAAGCATGGAAGTTCCGCATATACGTATCCGAAATTATGCAATAACTTTTATATACGGGAAAAATCTAATCCAGTGAATCGAAAAAAATAGAGTTTTGCAAATTTTCGCGAATTTCCTGAATTTGTATTTTATTTGGAAAATTCAATTTGCAATTTCCGAATTTATTTAGGTACAGCAAGTGAATAAAACTTAGTTTAATTAAATTTATCACATTTAAGCCCGCAGCATAGTTATTCGAAGTTACGTAAACCAATTAAAACTAGATTAACACACGACAAATATATATACGGTTATTATTAAATTATATATGTATAGAGAATATAATTTAATAATAACTATATATAAATAAAAATTTATTAAAATATAAAAAAATATATTTCAATCATTTTTTATTTGCTTTTTTGTTAATTACAAACCTATTTGATTTAAAATTTTGGCGTTGTGCAGCTGTCTCATCCGCCAAATATTAACAATGCATGAAATAGGTACACGAAGAAAAATCTTTTACCTATACCTAGTCTAAATGAAAAAGTAAGATAGCCTTGACGATGAGATATAACATTTTGCTTTGGTGCGGATAAGCAGAAGTTAGCCGAAGAAAATGTACGTGTTCTGATTGTACAGGGTGGCCAAATAAGGATGGCTCTCGGCCATATCTCGCAAACTAATTGTCATAGAGACTTGCGGTAAAAAATCTTATGACTAAATCGGCAAAAAGAAAATGCTGGAAATAATTTTCAGGTCTCTACAATGGCCGCTAGGGGAAGTATCCGCCATCTTGATTTTAAAAAGTCATTTTTTTCAAAATTTTCCTAAATAAAGGTAGCAAAAATGTGTTTTATTTTGATAGTTAAGTTAATTTCGATTATTTTTGGTAATATATTTTTGACTCTATCTTTTAAAATAAAGTGGTGGGGGTAGTTTGAATATTTTGACAAATAAATGTTAATAACTTTTAAATGGCTGAACCGATTTTCAAAAAAATGAAATTGTTGAAAAGGGCTTTCTTTGGTCTATAATTTACGTTATATAAGATATTATTTTAATTGCTTGCTTTGCCGTAAGATGGCGTTTTTCGACATTACTTCAAACAACACCGATTTTCTCAAAAAATTTAAATGCAACGATATAACTTTTTCTTTGGAGAAAAATAGTCAAATAATTACCAAACAAGCCTGTGAAAACCGAATCTCGATATCTCCTTCCTAACCTAAAATATATCTAAAAAAAGAAAAAATCAAGAAAATGCGTATATTTTTGGTGCACTACCAGTATAAAAATCTCTAATTAGCGTTGTTCCATCCACAAAAATTATCAATTTATTAATAATCTTCAAGTATGATATTTAGAAACACCAAGCTAAGTAATATTCATTCAATAATTATTGGATTTCCCTTTTATTCGCACTAGTTGAGAACAAACGAAATAACCATGCCGAGGAAAATAAAAAAACCAAAAAACTGGACGCAGAAGGTCCAGAATAATTAAGGACGTTGGTATCAACGTGTGGTGTGGTATACAAGGTGAAAGTTGTTGTTCCCTGGTTTATTTATGGGCGACTCAACGGACAAATATTTCTAAATTATCTACGTATTCCTAGGCCAATAACGAATTTCCTGGGTTATTGGAAGATGTTCGTCTGGAAACTCAAAGAAATATGTATTCCCAACCCGATGAATGCCAAGCTCATTTTTGTAGACTAGTTAGTTAGATTTTTTTGTTTTTTTTTTATTTTCCACGGCACGGTTATTTCGTTAGTTCTCAACTAGTGCGAATAGAAGGGAAATCCAATAATTATTGAATGAATATTACTTAGCTTGGTGTTTCTAAATATCATACTTGAAGATTATTTATAAATTGATAACTTTTGTGGATGGAACAACGCTAATTAGAGATTTTTATACTGGTAGTGCACCAAAAATATACGCATTTTCTTGATTTTTTCTTTTTTCAGATATATTTTAGGTTAGGAAGGAGATATCGAGATTCGGTTTTCACAGGCTTGTTTGGTAATTATTTGACTATTTTTCTCCAAAGAAAAAGTTATATCGTTGCATTTAAATTTTTTGAGAAAATCGGTGTTGTTTGAAGTAATGTCGAAAAACGCCATCTTGCGGCAAAGCAAGCAATTAAAATAATATCTTATATAGTGTAAATTATAGACCAAAGAAAGCCCTTTTCAACAATTTCATTTTTTTGAAAATCGGTTCAGCCATTTAAAAGTTATTAACATTTATTTGTCAAAATATTCAAACTACCCCCACCACTTTATTTTAAAAGATAGAGTCAAAAATATATTACCAAAAATAATCGAAATTAACTTAACTATCAAAATAAAACACATTTTTGATACCTTTATTTAGGAAAATTTTGAAAAAAATGACTTTTTAAAATCAAGATGGCGGATACTTCCCCTAGCGGCCATTTTAGAGACCTGAAAATTATTTCCAGCATTTTCTTTTTGCCGATTTAGTCATAAGATTTTTTACCGCAAGTCTCTATGACAATTAGTTTGCGAGATATGGCCGAGAGCCATCCTTATTTGGCCACCCTGTACAAAGAAATGAAAAATGCGAACATAAATGAGATAGCATTTTCTGCTCCGACGTTTCGACGTCGAATTTCCATACTTTGATGTCATTCACGGTATAATTTTGATGTATGAAGTTTCGAAATGTAACGGGAGCCGGCGTTTGCCGGTAAAGGGGATGTCGTCGAATTTTCCATCGTTACACCTTAAACGTTTACGCGATAAATCGTGTGATTAAAGTATATGAGGAATATTTACAGGTGTGTTATTTGTTTCAGGCTGAAATATGGAGTGTTTTCATCGCCATTTTAAGGAAAAGCGTTCGAAATCTTCAGGCATGCACGGACGTCGGACTTATCGAGCATGTACTAAAGAGACTACGAAACGCAGACATTTTAGTAGCAGGTAAATTTTTAATACTTGTTTGTACAATTCATTCCTAATACAGCTACTTAGATTCTAATATAATAATTTATTGTTGTAAATTGATAAATATTGTTCTTATTCTATTTCCAATGCAAATTTCAGTGCGCCATTTATATTCATTATGTATACGCGTCAGGTTTATAATCGAACTGATGAAATCAAGTAATCCGTAATTGTGCACATGACAATTTTTAATGGATAACCTACAAAATCCGTCGTAATTAAATTTTAATTAATCGAACGAACGAATTAATTAGTTTTAAAAAAATGGACATTGTCCAACGTTCGGTTTGGCTAATTGATTTTACATTGCATATTTTTTTAAATTGGTTTTAAAAATTATATTTAAAATACATTACATTTGCTATAGAATCCTGCTCTTCTATTTTTTGGATTCCTACTTATAGTCATACGTTATACAAATCCAATACAGTAATTCTTTTAAATGACGTTCTTTGCCGAAAGCTTTACCAAAGATTTAAAGGTTTAATTTTTGTATAGAGCAAGAGATTCACTTTCGTACTGTAACAGTTCAAGAAATTAGTTTATTGACATTAGAAAACACGTGAATAGAGTATATTCCAAGTTATTTTAGTCAATAAACATATATAATTTTCCTGAAGATTTTCCTCCCCTATATGTTTTCGATTCAAAAACTTATCCAACCCCAATTATATTCCAATTCGAGGACTTGTTAAACGATTGTACCAATAAATTGTAGGCGTCTCCATAACGACAAAACGGATAAAACGAACGTATTTTACTAACTACATGCCCTTATAAATAACGTCAGCGTTTTACAGACCGATGACAGTACAAAAAAAAAGGATTTTCCAATAGAATTGAGACATTCTTCATTTGATTAATTCGACAAAGGCGTGATATTTTTTGCTCGTCTTGCTTTCGCAAAACTAGTAATCGATTGTTTCCCAGGTTCGGACTTCTCCTTTTTTGTCGAAAGAAAGTTGAATTTCACCGCAAAGCGAACTGTTAACGACCAATAAATTGATTTACCCGTCAATGTTTGAGCGAATTGGCTATTTACCTGATAATTTACAGCGATGGGATTATCGCCTCTCTCAATATCCCATGTGGTTTTCATCACGCAAAAAACCTTTATTTTGTTGCAGATTTACTGATCGAAATGCTAGGCGTCTTGGCGAGCTACAGCATTACTGTGAAAGAGCTGAAATTGTTATTCGGGGCCATGAAAGCCGTAGCAGGAAAGTGGGTAAGTGCATTTTATATCCCGAAAAAGAGATTCACCGCGAGCTTGTTTGCCTACGAAAGAGGATCATTTAGGGACGAACTCGAATTTGATGTTTATGTAGGCTTTTCTGAGCGACGTGTTAGGTTTAACGATATTATTATATCTATAATTACTCATCATTATCGAATAATTACATCATTAGTAATTTCATAATTAAGTGTATATTATTCATACAAAAAAAATACGAACAAAATCATGTTGAATTTATGATATCCAAAAGTCTTTTAAATAAAAAAAATATCTTTAAAGAGCATAATAAATTGGACATGAAAAAAAGATTTTCCCTCATAAATCGAACCTTTCGGAACAAGACTATCTAGAATAAAAAGCCATTCAAAGCTCCCGTATTTATATTTACAATGAATATTATGTAGTACAATGCTTGCGGGTATCAAAAAGATTCCCAAATTTTCTAATCCTACCTTCGCTTGCGTTCGGAAAAAGGCGTATTTTGTTGTGTAGCAACCGGAGTGCTAAATATTTCGTTGAAAACAAAACGAGACGCGAGAGCATTTCGGAAGGGATGTAATTACTTCGCGTTAACAAACAGAAAAGGACTAACAGTGAGGTTTCATTTTAACAAAGGATCACAAAATTATATCGGGTATTATAAAGAGTTGAACGTAATTTGAGAGAGAACTAGCCTTTTAATTGACTCTGGAAACAATACTATGCAGATATCATGAGGTGAATCGGAATTTTCTAATTGGAAAAAAATGTTTTGTAAAGCTAAATTAACTGTAAATAAAATTCTTTGTCAAAGATTTTGTAGATTGAACTCAAAATTTTCGTAACAATTATTTTTTTGCAGCCTCGTCATTCCGCAAAACTTCTAAACGTGCTACGTCAGATGCCCCAAAGATCAGGACCTGACGTGTTTTTCAGCTTTCCGGGCAGGAAAGGTTCGGTGAGTCAGAAATGTATATTTTTTCCAACCTTTCAATTTTTTTAGCGGGATTAAATTCGTGTCATAAAAGCTTTTAATTTTCGCTGGCGAGCAGCCGTAAACGTACAGCCCAAATTTTGTTGAAAGCGCACGGACGAAATGCGTGCGATAACAAATCTTTTTATCTTTGTAACACTTTGATTCGCTGAGCTGCACGCTGATGCATAATTCACTAAAAGTGTTAAGACTATAAATTTACAGAGCAAATAGGCGTCGCTTTTGTGAGCGTACTTTTTGCTTTGAGATTATTGTTCACAAAGAGTCGAGTGGAACGTAGCTCTCTATCTTCTTTTGCCTTTGGTCGCTGGAGCAGATATCATTTCATAATAAAATACCAGGACCTAAAGCAGCGTGCTTGGATATGAGACATACACATACTCGTTCGTGTAAACAAATAACCTGCGAAGCGATTTGTTACGCTAAAGATAATTTTATAACGCGCATGAAACTCAAAAACAAGAACAGCTACCGTCCGATGCAGACTCGACGGTTTCATGAAGAAAACAAATTTTTTTCCCGTTCCTTTTTTATTTCCGTTGATTTGTTCAGCCGCCTTGTTTTTCGCCGAGTTGATGGATCTGACGCTCCTCTGTTATTATATTTCTTCTGCGATTTGTTTTAAGATTGATTGATCGCGGTGTATCTTTCTTGTTTTTTCTCGCAGGCCATCGTCCTTCCACCGCTAGCGAAATGGCCGTACGAGAACGGTTTCACCTTCACTACGTGGTTTCGTCTGGATCCGATTAACTCCGTCAATATTGAAAGGGAGAAACCGTATTTATATTGGTGAGTTTATTTCTGGCAAAGTAAATTTAGTAAGCGAATCGAACTGAAAATTATGTGTGCCTTTTAGAGTGGCAGAATAACCATACTGATAATTAAAATTATTTTCTTACTGCCCTGGATACTAGATGCTAGTTTACCACATTTTTTTACAAAACACAATGCATATTCGAAAGTAATCTTTATAAGTGCATTTATGTGTAGGTTGGGGTCCCTTTTATTAGAAAAATAATAATTTATTGAGTATTAACGTCGACCTCCTAAATCCCGATATTAAACCGCCAATGAGATGAGATTACCTACACATATCAAGTTTTAGTGGCACTTTATGTTATGCGGTTGTTACACATAAAATGGGTCATTTGCGATATACTCGGATTAACGAAAGGGTCTAAAGCCCTACCTTTACGACTTGTTGACCATCAATTCGGTTCTCGCCTTACCTCCTAACGTTCGATTATATTACCTAATTTTCATAGAGATCGTAAAAGTGCCAGCACCATTATCGGTTCGGGCATTTTCTCGAATACATTATAAGATCTATACATTTTATCCGATTTTATGTCGCGTTGAAAAATCGCGTTACGCGCGCTCTGGAAAGGTTGCTTGATATTTTATAATAGGCAAATCCGGGTTTAATTAACGGGACGTTACCTAATTTTCAGCTTCAAGACCAGCAAGGGAGTAGGGTACACAGCTCATTTCGTTGGAAATTGTTTAGTACTTACGTCGATGAAAATTAAGGGCAAAGGCTTCCAGCATTGCGTGAAATACGAATTTCAACCCAGAAAGGTATAATAAACGGATTACCGTTCGCCGTAAGCGGTTTAATGGAACGTTGTCGACTGTGTCTTTTTGTTTGTTGTAGTGGTACATGCTCGCCATAGTATACATATACAACAGGTGGACAAAAAGTGAAATTAAATGTTTGGTAAATGGTCAATTAGCGTCCAGCACCGAAATGGCTTGGTTTGTTTCGACGAATGACGTGAGTATCATTGGTTTTTTTTATTCCATGGCAATTTTATATGAAAGATTAGCTTTCATTACTCCAAAAATATATCTCGTTCATCAGTTATGTCGTGTATCATACGATCCTCGTCGTCGCAGCTCGATTTAGCTGATGAAAAGTGTTATTTGTTGAATTTATATTTGCGATAAGAAATTGCAAAATTGGCTACTAACATCACAGCAGTTATGAAAAGAGTTTTCTCCCTACTTTTCTTTTTGTTAATTCACTCGCTTCTAGAGAAGCCGCAAATTTAGTTTCGAACGACTTTTAATAAAAAATTACATGACCCTTTTACAAGCCACTTGGGTGAATTAGTATCGATTGGCTTTAGTACGTTTTCTCTTGAATTTTAAACATCTTAAAATGTATTTTTGCGAATTTCTAACGCTGGTTTTTTTCCGGTCGGTAGGTTTTCGATAAATGTTATATAGGTGCGACGCCCGAATTGGACGAAGAGCGTGTGTTCTGCGGTCAAATGTCGGCCATATATCTCTTCAGCGAGGCCTTAACGACGCATCAGATATGCGCTATGCATAGGTTAGGACCTGGATATAAAGTGAGTTATTTTCTTAAATATTTCATCCACAGAAATCCCCAGAAAAAGCAGTGTACGCAACTCCGTTCTCAATGACACAATGTATCCACTAATGCATTATTATTCGACTTGTAATAAAATCTCGACATTGATGCATTTAGATTTTTATACGTTTTTGAAAATTCCATTTAATTTTTTATTGCCTGCATTCGGGTTGTAGGAAACGAGCTCCGGACGCGCCGGTGTTTCCGCCGTATATTTCGAAAACCTCGTAAATCTACTGAACAGCTTTATAAAATTAGATAGTCAGTTTTGCACTTGAGTTTTAAAGTATGCGAGAAAATATTGAATCCGAAAACTTTTTAACTTAAAAGATTGTTCGCGGAATATTGATAAACGGCTCACGTGCAGCTGCTGAGATTTTACGAATATTTTGAACGTTTTTGCGCGATAAATATGGCGAATTAGAAGTTTCGCCGGAGACGAGTTCGTTTTTTCCACCGTTTGTACGCATTAAATGCATCTTTGATGAGCTGTATTCGCGATTAAAACGCACGTTCTTATCTCTTTCAGAGCCAGTTTCGTTTCGATAACGAGTGTAACATTAATTTGCCTGACAATCACAAAAGGGTGAGTGATAATAGTGAACAGTTACCAGCATCTAGCATGTCTCTGCCTTTGACTGCAACAGATGCACGTCCCGTAAGCATTTTTTATTTTTTTTTTAATTTCACCATTTCGTTTATTTTATGCACGATTTGTTGAGAGGGTGGCAAATGAAAAGGAAACGTCGGTTAATGAAGTGTCGAATTTTTTCGTGCGGATTTTATCACTTTGAGAAGTTCAGGAAAGAAATTTTTGATGAGCGTTCATTTGCCGCCGACTTAATGAGATGTACGAATATTGAAGCGTTAGAAATGCTGTTAATTTATCGTTGTTAGTGGATTTTTTTATAATGCGTACAAATTATCATACATAAATCTACTATATTTTAAATTTATTTGTAATAGGAGTATCTAATCTATTATTTTCGAATTATTCAATGTAAATAATGTGGTAGTATTTGATGTAAATTTGCTGTTCGGTGTGATTTACTTAGATTTCTAGTAGAATCATTAGGAAAGACCTTTTTTATGTTTTTGTTGGCTTTATGTAATGGATCCGAACGAATTTTTAATTACATGCCAATCAACTGCAGGAATCTTGAAGTAAATAAGCTAATTAAAAAAAACTGAGTATAACCCAACAGACATAAAAGTTGGATAATGACAAGAAAACTCGAAAGATATTCTCCTGAAAAATAAATATTTAAAGCTATACATTTTTAAGATTTTGAAATTCGATTTTTTTATTTGAACTAATTTAAAGCTTCTGAATTTTTATAGTTTATAATTTTATACAATTTAAAAAAAGTTTTCGTACTTTTCAAAAAAAGTATCCCAAATGATATGGCTTAATTGCGGGTAGAATGAGTGTTACTTTTTGCATGCTAACTGGATATTATAAAAATTAGAATTTGTATGCTTAGTACAAAGTCATTTAGATTAGAAATTAGAAACTGTTATCTTTAAATTCTTGCATAAGAATCAAGAGAAGAGGGATCCCCAAAATATGAACTTCTTGACTTGTACCCTATTTCATACTTCACATTTAATATGTTACCCATGTTTTTTTTGGTTTATCTTCAAATTTTCAGTCGTTTTTTCGATTCTCATCCGAAACACCGAGTATTTTGGATCTGTTTCGAAACAAATTCAATCGGATAAAAGAGGTCAGCGAATGAAAATGTATGCAAATATAATAAACTTCCTCTCTTATTTACGCCGGGATACTCAAAGTCACTGTCAAAAAGCAGGGAGAGTTGTGAGCGTGTGTTGCGTGATAATCTACATCCCCATTCCCTTGCGTGCTATTCTTTTGGGAAAACTAAAAATGCCCAAGGCACGGTCTGAACTTAAACTCACGTCCCAGTTTCCCTATATTTTTTCTACTATATTTTTCGGATCTTTGGTAAATCTTCAGCGAGAGTTCCTTAATATTTTTACTCTCGCAACTTAATTTATCTATCGAGAGAGTTTTCCGATGATATAGTACAGTTTCCAATGTATCGTAAATACTCTTTGATTGTTGGCGTTTCCTGCAGAAAAATGAAATTTAATAATGCTACTCCGACGATATCCAATTTGTTCATCTGAAGCAGCTGCATGAGTTATATTCTAATTTGTATTCGAAGAAAAATATTAAGGACGTCGTTTGCAGCGAAATAGATAAACGTAATTGGAAAATAAAAGCGCACCAGCTGCCTATTCGTTTCTAAAATGGCTACTGAATATAACTTGTATTTTATATTACACAATGACCGAATCGTAATTATTGATCGGTTACGTATAACTGTTACACGTGTTCTAGAAATATTTGAATTATTTCGTTATTTTGAACAGCTCATTCTGTTTTAATTAAATACACTTCGAATTTACATATTGCATAAAAATTATTCCGATAGGAACATTTTACTGTAATTCAAAATTTAATATAATTTCATTTGAATGATTTATTTGCAGGTAGGAGAGCTAAATTTTTAAACAACTCGAAATGAATTTATTTGCATTTGCACCTACTTGACTGTTTCCATTTGTTAATCCAATAATACTTCCATTAAACAAATAATTTCGAAAATATATAAAAGCGTTAAATTAAATTGTACTGTTTGCGCTGGTGTTTATTTTTTTCGAACCAGTTTAGATTAATAGTTTCAATGTTATTTTTGTTCTGTACTTTTAGAATTGTTAATTATACTCAAAATGTAATTAGTTTACGTATGTTTGATAATTAGAGTGTCTGAAAGTTTGATTGCATTTTTCCCAATGCTTTGAAGATAGAACTTCGGTGTACTCCTAAAATACGTACGAGTATATTGCGTTGGTAGTTTGTAAATTAGAGAAAACTCTAAACCGATGTGACGTACTACCTCGAATTAAAATTAATTAACCGAGTTGGTTTTGAATTGCGTAGGTTTTGTATGACGGCAAGTTGTCGAGCGCCATTGTCTTCATGTACAACCCCGTGGCAACAGATACGCAGCTATGTCTACAATCGGCCCCGAGGGGAAATATATCTTACTTCGTTCACACTCCGCACGCCCTCATGTTACAAGTAAGTATTAACGTCTAACTTTTCTCGGGCGATAAAACTACACATTCAATTATATCTGTCGTTGACGCCGGCAAAAAACTATTGCTTTTTATGCCGGACTTAATTCGGAGTAGTTTTGTAATGGGAGTGCAAAAAAATAATCGAATTAATCGACTAAATTGGCCGCGAAATTGAATCGAAACTTTTGGCGCGCTCGAAAATAATCATTGCAAAGTATATCTAATTTCAATTAAAAAACTTAATTTCGTTAGCCGGGCGCGGAAAATACAAAGTTATCTTGTTGACTCCAATTTACTCTGAGATCTCTTTTGTAGTGCCACGCTTTTAAAACGAACCTTAATCCCTACTTGTCACCGAAGCTTTATATTACTAACATAAAGCTCTCTTTTGAAACAAATTAGATTTTGCGAAAGTGGTAAAAGGAAAAGCATGAAAATTAAATTCGTAGGTAATCAATAAAGTATTATGTGTCGGATGGAATTGCTCCAAATTGCATCTCATAATTGACTTTTTTGTTGACAGTTTCTATGGAACATTACTGTACTATTGCTATTGAAAGTATCCAGTAAATTTAAAACGTTGAATTATGACCTTTTTATCCCTTTATTTAAATTCGATTTCATAAAACAAACAATGGAACTTCTACTACCGTGGAATATTTAACGATTCCGAAGCTCGCCTATATCGCACTATTTACATAAAGCTGTTAAAATGTTTGTAAAGTATAATTGAATGTTTCTGGAATTATAAAAGTCAATATTAAACATTTTTCTCACGTCGAATTAGATGCTAGCTGAAAATGTTTTTCTCGCGAATTGTAAATACAGACTAGACAAAGATTGCCAATTTGCTTCGCCGTTTCCTTAATGTTTTTAAAACTTTTTCCAGGACGTAAAAGCAGTGATAACTCACTCCATCCATAGCACTTTAAATTCCATTGGAGGAATTCAAGTCCTTTTCCCCTTATTTTCGCAACTAGATCTACCTTACGAGTTTAACAATTCATCGGATGCTAAACGAGATCCCACGTTGTGGTAAATAAAGCGATTTCGGTCTGTTTGATTTTGTTTAATTGATTTTTTCGTTACGCAGCGCGAAATTGTTAGGCTTCATTTGCGAATTGGTGGAAACATCGCCGACGGTTCAGCAGCACATGATACAGAATCGTGGATTCCTGGTGATTAGTTTCATGCTCCAGCGATCCTCGAGAGACCACTTGACAATAGACGTACTGGGTTCCTTTCTCAGTCTAACAAAATATCTCGTTACCTGTCTGAGTGCCAATAGTGAATTGTTGTTGAAACAGGTATGTTGTATAGTATAGTGTTTAGAGTAAGTGGATTCAGATATTAATAGAGTTAGAAAATCAGCAGTCCGAGTAGAGTCCTGTAATTTTAATGCACTCTGCTTGGATTGGATAGTTTTTTACAATTTTTTGGACATTTTTATCGACAACACCTTGTACTCGTGTATTCAGAAATTTTGCCCGAAGAATTTGCTTTCATAGTATGTTTGACTACGATTTTATTGCAGGATTTGAAAGTTTCTTATTCGTAATCAGTTTATTTATCTTAAATCTAATTCTTCAATAATAATATTCTGTTAACGTGTTTAACTTTAGAACTAATTTCGAACCTTCTGTTATCTTAAACTTTTCGTTTAATAGCGAAATGAAACAACATCTATTCGTCTTAAGCCGAGCTATTTCAGTCTTAGGAAGTGAATTTGTTTATGATGTTTAATATTCATCTAATTTACAAAAATCCATTCGGTTTTTTATTGTTTTCTTTCGATTTCCTTTATTTTATCAATAATAAACAATGTGTTATCGATCTAGAAAATTAATTTTAGTGCACGATAGATATTTATCGAAAGTAATCTTAAAATACCAAAGGAATGTAATTTATTTTAAAGCACTATTAGGTTCCCTGTAGTGAAGAAAATAGTTGATAGAAGCTTCTTATTTGTATAAAGAATTTCATTTATTTTGATGATTGGTTGATATAGTGAGTTTGTTCGATTAAAAATTTATTTTTGCATCAAACGAGTCTCTTAATACTAATCTATATTTATCTTTTACTTTTATTTCTATCATACAGAATTAGATAAAATAGTAACAGTCACGTATTGCACATTTTTTTACCTTGCACATATAAAAATTTGAAAATAACTTTATCTAGTTAACTATTATTGCATTTAAAATTTAGAGTAGTTGAACTATAATGTAAAATTGATAATAGTTATTTTAAAAGAATGTACTTACATATATCTTATGATATTTGATAAAGAATCTATTGATATAATGACAAGTTAATAATAACCCTTTCAGCACACGAATAATTTATTTCACTATTTGTTTCAAACACTTCAGATTTTTTTGCAATTAAGTACAAGCCATGGTATTTTTTTCGAATAAAAAATGTGAAGCGTTTGAAACCTATATCGAACACCCTAAAGGTATTTGCGCTTACTCCCGACTCTAAATTGTACTTATCCATGCATGTTGAAGTTTTTTTACCCGATTTCGCTTTCATTTCTGAACTTAACTCGTTCAGCAAATGGCCGCTGGACCACATCTAGTGAACTTATTTCGGCTTCCTCGATTTATTTGCTGTTGTTCTTTCGATACGTCTTGTATACTGATATCGTTCCGGTATCCCCTAAAGCTGCATGAAAATCGTTTAGGCACTAATTTTTACTGCTGACATCACGTAATCGAGCCAATGTTTAAAATTTTCTGGTTCTAATTTAACGTTTCTAATTTCTTTCAGCAAATTTATATTAGATTGATATTCATCATTTTTTTTGTGAAAGATGGTGAATAACAATATTCATTCTAAATAATCAAAATTACTCTAGTCCTTTGTAAAAAATTTAAAAAAATAAAAAACTAAACATGTCAATGGGTAAGTACGGGAGCAGTGTGAACTATTTTGATCTAGTTATTTTGTTTTTCATTTCTGACCTGGCAGTTATTGGATCATGTCCTATTTAATCCGGCTCTTTGGATTTATACGCCGGCTTCGGTGCAAACGAGGCTCTACTCCTATTTGGCCACGGAGTTCTTGTCCGACACGCAAATATATTCGAATGTGAGAAGAGTATCCACCGTACTGCAGACCGTTCATACTTTGAAGTATTATTACTGGGTCGTTAACCCGAGATCTAAGAGCGGGATTTCGCCGAAGGGATTAGGTAAGCACTCCTTCGACCAGCGGTAAATCCTCAATTAAAGAATTATTTTCAACAAAAAAAACTGAAATGCACTTTTAAGACCTTATCTGATATATAGCTACCTTAAAATAAAGCCTCGGTACGTGGTTTTAAACTGAAAGAGTTCATTGTTGCGGAAAATAAATAACTCGCTGCGATTAAAAGGAGAATGGCCACAGAAATGAATCGTCTATTTTCTTTATTCACTTCCTAGATTCATTATTAAAAATCTCGCAGCACATAGAAGAATATCGCCGGTTGAATCTCGAAAATTACGACCTACGTTCTAAACTTTGATATTTGGTAGAAAATTTTTAAATTCAATTTTTGAATAAACTCTCGCCCTTAGAGTTTCGAAAGTTCCCTCCTCGATCGCGTTAATTAATTCTTAAGAATTTCCGAGACGCATATTTAAAGCTTGATTAGATTCATGAACTCGGAAAGTCCAGGTAGAGTTTCCATATTGTTTTCAACGAATTACGGCTCGGGCTATTCTTCACGTGTATGTCTGCGGAAAATAACGAACGGCCCTTGCAAAAAGGGTGGAAACGCTAAACGAAGAAAGCGAACGTTAATATTTAAAATAACGCGTAAAAAATTCAAACGTCCTTTAATGAAGTCGCTTCGAATTGACTTCGTGTTTATTAATATTTTGTTTCGTTCGTCTCAGACGGTCCGAGACCGGCGCAAAAGGACATCCTGGCCATTCGTTCCTACATCCTCCTGTTCCTCAAGCAACTGATCATGGTCGGTAACGGAGTCAAAGACGACGAGCTCCAGAGCATCCTCAACTACCTCACGACCATCCACGAAGACGACAACCTCCACGACGTGCTGCAGATGCTCATCTCACTCATGTCGGAGCACCCTTCCTCCATGGTGCCGGCCTTCGACTCGAAATGCGGCGTCAGGACCATCTTCAAGCTGCTCGCCTCCGAGAGCCAGCTGATACGTTTGCAAGCCTTGAAGTTGCTCGGCTTCTTCCTCAGCCGCAGCACCCACAAGAGGAAATACGACGTCATGAGCCCCTTTAATTTGTACACGTTGTTAGCGGAAAGGTGAGGACTAATAACGTTACGTAGGCTGCTGTATGTTACTGTTTAATGATGTTTTAGATTGCTTTTGAACGAGGATACGCTGTCTCTACCGACTTACAACGTTTTGTATGAAATAATGACGGAGCACATCAGCCAACAAATTTTATACACTAGACATCCAGAACCTGAGTCTCACTTTAGATTAGAAAATCCAAGTAAGTAAGGCTAGTAAAAACATATCTAATAAAGATTGTGATGGACACGTACCGAAACGTTTGCTTTATTTTTAGTGATCTTGAAAGTAGTGGCTACACTTGTACGACAATCGAAGCAGACCGAGCAATTGTTGGACGTGAAGAAATTGTTTCTCTCCGACATGACGCTGTTGTGCAACAACAACAGAGAGAACAGGAGAACCGTTTTGCAAATGTCCGTGTGGCAGGAGTGGTTGATAGCGATGGCGTACATACACCCGAAAAACGGCGAAGAACAGAAGCTGTCCGATATGGTGTACTCTTTGTTCAGAATGCTCCTGCACCACGCTATTAAATACGAGTACGGCGGATGGAGAGTTTGGGTCGACACATTGGCCATAGTACATTCCAAGGTAGCGTATTTTACACCTACAAATCTTCTCCTGCTAAATTATTTACGGTTAATTAGGTTTCCTACGAGGAATTCAAGCTACAATTCGCTCAAATGTACGAGCGTTACGAAATGCACCGAGCGGACAACATCACCGATCCGCTGGTCAGACGACAGCATCCCATCAGCACGATATCCGGTTGGCACGAAGGCGGGCAAAACCTGCCGAACGGCTGCCATTCGGAGAACGAGGGCTGGCAGAATTCGGGCGCGTCGCTGCAGGAAATCGAGCTGAACGAAAACGACAAATCGGAGCAGGTTTGCAGCTGCGATTACAACTCGACGTTGTCCGACGGCAGTCCGGTGTCGTACGTGGTGAAGCACGAAGACAGCGAGGCGGTGTCGTTGGATTCGAGGACCAGCGATCTGTTTAGCGACGGCAAAAACGGCAAGGGTTCGCCCTATTCACAGGACTCGCCGTTGAAATTGGGCGAAGAGATCGCCGAGGATTCGCCCGTTTGTAACGGCGTGCACGCCGAGAGCAGCCCGAGCTTCGGCAGTCCGATGAAGATGTCGAACGAGAAGAGCGAAGTCGTCGAAGAGATCCTGCAGGAAATACTGACGAATTCCGAAAAACTCATAGAAGAACATTGCGATGCCACCGTTTCTGATGATACTCCTGTTCAACAGGATCAGGAAATAGTCGAAGCCGTCAAGGAGGTTGTGAATAATTTACCGGAATTGGAGAACGAAAAAAATAGTACCGAGATAACTGAGGAGGAAGTAATCGAGGAACAAAAAGAGATTGAAACAGATCAAGCTAACGTAGATCAAGAGGTAGGAAATTCCGCTAAACAAATTTCTAGTCCCGAAAAGGAAGTGCCCGATAGCGATTTATCCGAAAGGTAAGATATTAGTACATTTGTTGATTAAATGGAGATGAATTTAATTGATTATATTAAATCTGTTGTAGGTACTTAACACCTACAGACGAAATAGTAGAGAAAAAAGAAGACGAAGCCGAATCCACAGAGAAGACTGAAAAGTGTGATGAAGAGCAGTTTAGAACAGTTAAAAGTGATATAAAAGAGAGTAATGAAATCGTTAAAACGAACAATTCCATTGACGTTATCGTTAGCGAAACTAATAGTGTTAATGAACTTATAAAAAATAATTCTGAAGCTGTGCCAATTGTTGAAAATAGTGCTGTGTCCGTAGAATTAGAGCCGTCCAAAAATGAATCTAGTCTAGGAGAAGCCACCATTCAAGCTAGTGATAATGATTCTAAATTAGCAGATGGCGCTGAAATTGAAGTGCCTCAGGTTGAAAATATATCAACGATTTCACAATACTGTGATCCTAGTCATTACGATAATTCTACTAATACTGCTGTTAATAACGATAACGTTGTCGTTAACGCCGAGGAGGATTCCAACAATCAAAGCGACGGTCCGCCAGCGATCATTGACGGAATGAAAAGACGAGTCAGTCTGCCCGCGTGCCACAACGAGATGCCGATGGGCGATTACAATCACAATCCCGGCAACGTGTCACCTCAGAAGAGACCGAGAAGCGCGTCCACATCGACCCAAGTCGATCCGAATTTGTTCGGTAAGCTTTACAGTTCATCCACAACGATTCAGTCGGTATTGACGCGTTTTATTTTAGAAAGGAAAAATAGCAAATCGGGTCTGCCGCGACCCATGTTCAGTCCGGGCCCGACGAGACCTCCGTTCAGAATCCCGGAATTCAAATGGTCCTACATACATCAAAGGCTCCTATCCGATGTGCTTTTTTCCTTGGAAACCGACATACAAGTGTGGCGAAGCCATTCGACTAAATCCGTCTTGGATTTCGTCAACAGCAGCGACAACGCCATTTTCGTCGTCAACACGGTTCACCTGATATCCCAATTGGCGGATAATTTAATCATCGCCTGCGGCGGTCTCTTGCCTCTGTTGGCATCAGCTACTTCTCCTAATGTAAGTACTACACTTTGTAGTAAGCACAGAATGATTAATCTTCCGAGATGTTGTAGAGCGAACTCGACGTTATCGAACCAACCCAAGGAATGCCCATTGAGGTCGCTGTTAGCTTCCTTCAGAGACTAGTCAACATGGCAGACGTACTTATATTTGCAAGTTCGTTGAATTTTAGCGAGTTAGAAGCCGAAAAGAACATGTCGAGCGGGGGAATTTTGAGGCAATGCTTGAGATTGGTAATTACTATTGTAATACTCAAGATAATCTACAAAAATATTTAATTGAGTCTGTTTATACGCATGTTCTGTGTTATACGAAAGTTGTTTTATGTTAATCGTGATGCTAAAAACTGTACAGGGTGTTAATTAATTGGGTGCCGATACTTTAGGATGTGAATATTTGGGTTATTTAAAGAAGAAAAGTTTCTATCAATATATGCCCTAAAACTCTTAGTTTTTGAGCTACAGGGTGTGAAAGTAAGTCTTCTGGCCGAATTTGATACAAAATAAATGAGGATTTTAAAAATAATTTTAGTTTTTAGAAAAATCAGTGGCGTACCATTTTTTTTAAACATATTCAGTTCAAACCCCCTACGGACGTCACTGGTAAAAATTTTAAAAAATCTTTCGCCTCAAAAAATGCTCCTTAATAATTAAAAAGTGTGTACAAACTTTCATAAAAATATCTGGAATAAAAAAAACTATGATAGAAAAGTTACTTTTTTTCCAAAACTTTAACACCATCTAGTTTAAAAACTAAGAGGTTTAGGACATATATTGATATAAACTTTCCTACTTAAAATCATCCAAATATTCACAGCCTAAAGTATCGACACAGAATAGTTGTTACTAGTTACTAGTTGTTGCTAATTTACGAACCAAATGTGCGGCAATTATGAAATAATTAGCTTATTCTAATAGTAACTACCCTATCCTACACTACCTACCCTTCCCTACCCTATCCCTCCGCTATTCTATAAGAAAAAGCCAATTCCTTCATAATATCCGTTCATTTAGCTAGTTCGTAAATTATCTAGTTACTTTACAGTTACTTCTAGCATAGTCATAAGGACTTCTTCGTTACTCCACGTTTGTATTAAAGTGTAGTGTTTTTAGCAGCACGATTCGTGTATTGTTGTACGTTGTTAATACGTGATTCGTGTCAGGTTTGCACATGTGCCGTTCGCAACTGTTTGGAGTGCAAAGAAAGGAGTCGTCCTCACCACGCTCTTGCACCAAATTCGCACAACGCTAGCCACAAAGCGGCGCACCTGCAATCGTTCATAAGAGGTGTTCAGAATTCGCCGAAGGTATAGTATAATTATTACGCGTTGTTGAATAAATTGTGTTACTTTTGAGTGTATTTTTTTTGTAGAGCGTGGCTGATAATCTGTCGAGCAATTCGAGTCCTGTTAAAGATCCCGAAAAGCTCCTTCAAGATATGGATGTGAATCGATTACGCGCTGTAATATACAGAGATGTGGTGAGTTTGTAAACCATATAGTCTAAATGTTGATAAAAAAGAAAGAATTGGATATGTAATAGAGATATTTTTTTAGGAGGAAACAAAGCAAGCTCAATTCCTTTCACTAGCCATTGTGTATTTTATATCTGTATTGATGGTTTCGAAATATCGGGATATATTAGAACCGCCCGTTTCCATAAGATTGCCCAGCCCTGTGCCTGTTATCAGAAACAACGGTACATCTTCGCATCGTTCCGACAGTCCTCAAGGTACGTTCGGTTTTTGTAAGGTTCGAAGCCTCTGAAGCAATCTAACATTTAAATGTTTTTTTACATCGAACGAAAGGTTTAATTCGAAAAAACATTTTAAGGCGAATATTTGCTAGAGACATCGATGAAGTAATAGAATTTAACGTTTGCGTTGTTCTCGAACGGGAAATTTAATTGTCTTCGACAAATATTGAATCAGTTTCAGAGCGTAAGCTTCTCTCACTGGCGTTATCACTTCACGCTTCTCGCTATTAACATAATTTTAATTTCAATTCGGAATTTTTTTGCGACATCTTTTCGCATTTGTTTCATTTCTGAAGAAAATTTTATGAAAATTTGTCGGATTATTTTTTGCACTAATTCTATTTAAGGTTTGTAAATCATTTGATTTTATCATTTATTCAGCTTTTATTTAATCGTATCTCATGAGCTTATTTTTCGTTATCATTTATCCATATCATTTCACAATGAAATTACATAGTATTTTCTACCAATTAAATACCTGGTCATTTCAAAGTGCAACAATCGAATAAAAATAAACCATAAGCCCACAACTTTTACCCACATATCATTAATAATATCAACCATCTTCATGGAGAAGACCGTGTAATTAATGATGTGTTTTTTACTTTGTGACATGCAGAAGGGAGTGCGAGACCTCTATTTCCCCAATGGTCCCACCACGTCTACCCCCAATTCCTCCCCGGTTCCCACCCGAATGCCGTCGCCCACAATAATTACGTTAGGCATCGGCATTCGTACGTTAAGCACCATTACAACCTAAACAATAACCACCATTCTCACCACCACAACCATAAAATCGACCACCGTTATCACCGCAACTCCGTTGTAAACCGTGCAGGTAATTCCCGTATGAAATAAATCAGTGTACTGTTGTTTTTTATTTTGTTATTTTTCGAGTAATTCAGCACGTCCCTTTACACTATTTCGAACGTTCTGTTTTCTTTCTTCCGATTAGAAACGGCGAATCATTGGTTACAAAGCGGTAATTTGCATGATATGAGTCTGATGAAGAAATTCCGTGTGATAAATGAACCAATGATAGCTTTGTTTTGAGTAATTTGATTGATTTACTCTTTATTCGGGGTGTTAATTAATTCAGTGCCGATAATTCTGGATGTGAAAATTTAGATGATTTTTAGAAGAAAAGTTTATATCAATATATGTTCTAAACCTCTTAGTTTTCGAGCTACAGCTATTACAGTTATAGAAAAAAACTTTTCTTTCATAATTTTCTTGTTACTCCAGGTATTTTTATGAAATTTTGTATACACTTTTTAATTATTAAGGAGCATTTTGTTGAAATTTGGTAAGGGGCCCACCATGCATGGAAACACTTTTTTGGGGACTAAAATTAATTTTCTACTATTACCAGTGACGTCTACGTCCGAAATTTCATAAAATATCTGGAGTAATAAAAAAACTATGATAGAAAAGTTACTTTTTTTTCTAAAACTTTAACACCCTGCAGTTCGAAAGAGTTTGGGGACATATATTGATATACATTTTTCTTCTTAAAATCAACCAAATATTCACATCCTGAAGTATCGGCACTCAATTGATTAACATCCTGTATAATGTAATCGTGTAATGCTAGAGTTTTCTCAAATATTAGATAACTTGTGTGTATACTTGTACATGAATAAAGGTTTCGATTAATGTACGTAATTGTACATAGTTTTCTATTGAATCACTTCTATTGTCATAGCTTGTTACACCAATGAATCGTTTTTTAATCTTTTAATTTTCTACCTCCCATCCTGCACCAAAATGCGTCCTAATCCTAAGTCCTAATAAAAGTCATATTCATCAGTGTGCACTTCATATCGTTTTTCACTCTTATTTTTTTCATTCTTTGTATGATTTAAATGAAACTTATTTTATTTATTTACAAGTATAGTGCAAGAATAAAACATGGATAGTGGTGGATTTGCTTAGAGTTGAACAGTATTTTTGCCACCCTTTAGCATTCTTAGGAAGTTAGACATATACTTGAAGCAACCACTTGTACTTTAGAATAAAAAAATAACACTGGAAATAGTTTAGAATTTAATGTAAGAAATTCAATTTGATTTATTCGCGTCTTTTGGAGAAACGAAACAGGAGTAATCTATATTAATGTTTGCACGTGAATTGCAAAGGTGGATTCATAATGCCTTGTGATGAAAAATATTGTTTGTTGTTTTTGAATTACTAAACCAGCTTCTCCGTTACATTAAAAATCCATAGCATGATTGTCTGATTCCTATCATGTGTACGTATACCTATTTATTTTGAAATTACGTGGAAATTTCTTATGTAATTATTTGGTAAATGCAATTGCTTAGCTTGTTTTCGACTCTTCTCCAACAAAATTCTCAACATTAGGGCGTTATTATGAAAGTCTACCGTTACTCTCGATTTAACATTGTTGTGATCTTCTTGTTGAAACCTATACATGTTCTATTTGTATGTGGTGCATGTTTTTTTAAACGGTTTTACGCCTCCTTAGTAAAGCCTTTCGTTTTTCGTCCCTTAGCTTCCCGATCCGTTCAAATACAGGAAGACAATGATTTTGACATTATTACAGCATATGTCGAGGAAAACAACTCTCTACATACCGAAAACGATCTCAATTCAGGACCGGCGTCAATTAAGGTAAGATTGCTCTTTAATTATGTTACTTAGACGAGAAAGTTTGGATTTTTTTGAATGACAGTGTTAATTGAAATTTCTCTTCATGATACTTTTTACCATTATACTAGAGTTAGTATGAGCTGTTGAATATTCAAACTTCAACATGGTAATGGCAATTCGTAGAAGAGAGATTTTAGATTTAAATGGTTAATTTGTACGAGTTTGTTGCATTTTAGATAAAATAAGATGGTCACTTGTTAGCTAAAATTGCAACTATTTTGTTGCAGAAATTTCTATAATTTAATTTCTTATTTTATTTAAAATGTCTATTTTTTGCACTGAGATAGTATTTCTAACGCACAATTTTATTAGGAGAAAATCACTAACTAGTGAATGTATTTATTGTATGTATTTGTTCATATTGTGAATAAATTTAGTAGTTACGGAATTGTAGGTGTAAAATTTCGTGAGTAGATAAATTGACAGTTAATTTTACGGTTTTGTCTAATTATATAAAATATTCGAATTAATTTTCACGAAAATAATGATTTTAAAATGGGAAAATATTTCACCGCTTTTTTAACCAAACTAACATTTGTGTCCACTATACAGGGTGTTTAATTAAGTGTCGATACTTCAGGATGTAAATATTTAGGTGATTTTAAGAAGAAAAGTTTATATCAAAATATGTCCAACACCTCTTAATTTTCGAGCTACAGGGTGTTTAAATTTTAGAAAAAAAATTTTTTTAAAGCATTTTTTGAGGCGAAAGATTTTTTAAAATTTTTACCAGTGACGTCCGTACGAGGTTTGAACTGAATATGTTTGAAGAAAAAAGTTGTACGCCTCTGCTTTTTCTAAAAACCATTTATTTTCAAAATCCTTATTTATTTTGGTGCAAATTCGGTCCCAAGACTTACTTACGACACACGATTTTCGCTTAAAAAAATAAAAACCAAGACAATTTTTTCCCAAGTTCATTAAGACTGCTTTTGATATTTTGTTGAAATTTGGTAATCGCCCACCATACATGGAAACACTTTTTTTGGGGACAAAAATTAATTTTTTACTATTACTATTATTATTTTCTTCTTAAAATCATCCAAATATTTAAATCCTGAAGTATTAGTACTCATTTAATTAACATCCTGTATTGTAGATTATTGGTATTTTACATACACAGAAACTAAATTCTAAAAAAATGTTATTTTTTCAAAATATTAAAACTCCCGATTATTGGGACGTTGAATCTACTTCAAAAAAAATGTTTTAAACGCTGTAAAATAATAGAAAAGCTTATTACATAATGGGCACATCGAGGAATATTGCCTAGCTACTAACATCTCCAGTTGCTCCTTAATATTTCCTCGTAAATTGTACAAATTCTTTACTTATTACTAACAAAGCTTTTGCTCTTTGCGTCTGGCCTCTGAATTAGGTTAACACGAGGCAGCGTCCTTCTCTGACTCATGGGTTCTCTGTAAATTATTCTTTGGATGGGATTAGGCATGCTCGAGGTTGTGAGAGTGCTCGCATTAAAAAGGTAATGCATTTTGAATAGATTGTTCAATATGAGTAAAGTCAATAAAACGTTAAATGTTGCTTCTTCAAATAGAATCATTTTACTAATCAATTTTTTATTGACTTTATTTTATCAATACACTTATGGTATTTTGAAAATAGCCTGAGATGGTACAGTAATTAGGTACTCTTACTTTTGTTGAATCACCAGCAGAGATGCGCTTCAGAAGTTATATCAGTAATTACTGGATCATATAAATAATCGCATGTTAGTAAAAACCTTTTAATTGTTTCATATTTATAAGCTGCATCTATCGCTTTTGTAATACATAATTTTTATGGGTTCCCTTCTCTGATAAATTAACTTGCTCAATTAGAAAAACATGTTAACCCATTTTTAATTTTTGACACAACTAATATGTGATTTATGTATAAAATCTGCAGTATTTATTTTCAAGGAAAAAAGTAGGTATACTATATTTTATAATTTAGTCAAGCGTATGTGATTATAACTTAATTTAAAACTTCTACCCATTAGTACTCTCTTCTCCCTAGCAATGAACCTTACTCCATGAGCTCTTATTAAAGCCATAGAATTACTAATGGTTATTCCAATACATTCCAGAGTTCTGATTCGGTCGACGATATCCACTCAGTACATTCCATTGACACCAATAACATTGGTTCAAATAACGAAGCGCACATGGACGATAACGACAAAGTCAACGTAGACGAAAGTTGGACGGACATTAATCTGAACGAAGAAGGCGATTCGAAAGAAGAAACTAGAAATTTGCAAAACATGTCCCACTCCCATTCCGGTCTCGACAGCGAAGGAAACATATCGGAGCGCGGCGACAAGCACCATTCCGAAATATCCGTCGTAAGAGTTCCCGATGGAATCATTCAAACGCCGGTCCAGATCAGACCGGACGATCTTCCCGTCAACAACCTAGTCGATCACATTACGATGCCGACGCCTTCCAGAGAAGCGTCTTTAACGCAGAAACTAGAAATGGCCCTCGGCTCGGTGTGCCCTCTGCTGCGGGAGATCATGGTGGACTTCGCGCCCTTCCTATCCAAGACTCTGGTGGGCTCCCACGGACAGGAGCTGCTCATGGAAGGCAAGGGACTGACGACCTTCAAAAACAGCAATTCAGTGGTGGAATTGGTGATGTTGCTCTGCTCGCAAGAGTGGCAAAATTCGCTGCAAAAGCACGCCGGGCTCGCTTTCATCGAGCTGATCAACGAGGGTCGGCTCCTCTCGCACGCCATGAAGGACCACATCGTGCGCGTCGCCAACGAAGCCGAGTTTATTCTCAACAGAATGAGAGCCGATGATGTATTGAAGCACGCTGATTTCGAGGTTAGTGCATATTAAATCGTCTCCGTAGGAGTTTACATCGTTCTGTTCCAGTCTCAATGCGCCCAGACTCTACTCGATCGCAAGGAAGAGGAGCGCATGTGCGACCATCTGATCACATCGGCCAGGAGACGCGACAACGTCACGGCCAGCAAGCTGTTGGAGAAAGTCCGGAACATAATGTCGAACAAACACGGCGCCTGGGGTTACATGGACTCGCAGGACTTCAAATTGAACGATTTTTGGAAACTGGACGCTTGGGAGGACGACGCGAGGCGCAGGAAACGCTTGGTGCACAATCCCTTGGGGACGACGCACCCCGAAGCGAGCCTCAAAGCCGCCATCGAGCACGGCGCGCCCGAAGACGCGATTCTTCAAGTAATTCCATCTCCGATTGCTTCTCGCGGTGGACTAATCGAGCTTTCGATTGCAGGCCAGAGAAGAGTTCCATACGCACGTGGCGGCTACCAAGGGCCAGCAGATGCCGAGCGATTTAATGGACGATAACGAGCTCATGATAGACGATAGGGAATTGGACAATGATTTAAGCGGTAATTACGGTGAAATGTTTAAATGACAATAGGATTAATCGAGTTGAATTGAATTCAGGTCCTGTAAATATTAGTACTAAGGCTCGACTGGTCGCTCCGGGGTTAGTAGCGCCTGGTATGGTTTCGATTACATCGGCCGAGCTGTACTTCGAAGTCGACGAGGACGAGGAGGAGTTTAAGAAGATAGACAGCGAGGTGAGTCTTTTCTAATGTACTATTCGGACAATTTTGTAAATTTAAAATTATTTTCTCAGAGGAAAAAATACCTATTTTTTAATACCTCTCGTAGTAGGTAACGCCAACGAGGTAGGCCAATAAGGCCGTAATTAAAATTCAACTTGTAACATTTTAAGTATGTTTACATAGGGCTGTCGACCCGCCACGCCCTATCGCATAATGATTTATCGTTTTCCGTCGTGAATATGCAGCGCGCGTACCTAATTTCAATAAACTCCGTCCCTGATAAATGGTTTCTATAAAAAAAGGACGATACTTAACAACGGCGTAACGTAACCGAAACCAAATTAATTGTGATTCGCTAATTGCCCGACTGATCTTCGCCATATCTAAATCGAACGTAGTTATTTTTACAGATAAAATTTTTATTTCGCGATTTTATGCATTATAATTCATTCCGTTTTCTATAGTAGAGGATCCCAAGTAAGGTCGATTTGCACCGATTTGATAACCAGGTGAAAATTATATTTTATTAAATGAAATATGTTTTTCAAGGTGTACCAATAGGGTTGCCTTAAAAAATATGCTACACGCTATATACAGCGTGTCCTCGTAATTGGCGCATACGGAAAACTTTTTTATTATTAAGTTTTCGGAAAAAAATTATTCTTTATAAAAAGTTCTGCATGGCCAAAACCCAAAATACAACCAACAGTTATCAAAATTTAACAGTCAAATACGAGGTTTGTCAAAAAATTTGATTTTTGCGCATCTAAATCAACATGTAACTAAACAGTGATGAATATTTAAAAGTTATTTTTAATTCTAAACATTTTTCTTTACAATAATTTTCGATATTGTCAAAAATAAGGATACTTTATTCTTTGAGCAATAATCACATTTTTTGACAAACCTCGTATATTACTGCTAAATTTTGATTTTGATAGCATTTTGGGTTTTGGACCATGCAGAACTTTTTTCGAAAACTTAATAATAAAAAAACAGCATTTTTTCTACTTGGGGTCTTAGACTACTATTATCGCTTTAAATTACCGGACCGTTTTGGGAAAACTTAATAAAATCATCGATCAGCAAGATATAAACAGAATAGAAATTAACAATTATAATTCAGTTTCGCAATAAATCAGCTGTCATATCGATGTTCGCGCAACTCCATCATTTTCCTGTTGCTTACATTACCTATGCAAATTGCTTAATTAACGCACACACACATTTCTTTTGTACATGTTACTTTTTAAAATAACGTATGGCCGTACAACCAGCTGACCTATTTTACGATCGCGCGTCGAGAATTACATTATTTATACTAATCCAATTTGAAAGCTTGTTTGCGAATTACTTAACTGTACTTATGCTGGTACTGTTTACTTTGCATTGAACATTCGCCATGACGGTTTTTATCCCTTATGTTTATATTAACAATTAATTAACAGGTAAGGAAGTTTACCGGTACAAAATCGCGATGTTTTTTATGATTTTCAATTCGCTTTTCACCAAGTATCCGCGTGAATATTACATGATGGGTCCATTAAAGTATGGCACAGCAATTTTGTATATTGTTGGAATTATTTAACGAGACGTTTCTCTGTGTGCGATCTTTTTGTAAAGGATACATCGTGTGCGTAATGCAACGATAACGTCTATCTTTTCTTCCATAAGACTCCGTAATAAATACGGAACGGCTCATATTCCTTGTAATCGGTGTGATTTAGCTCGTTCTTTGAGCAACAAGTAACGGCGGGGCGTTCGAATAGCCCTCGCTCGACGAATTCTTCGAAATCCAAACAGGTTTATTAAAAAGAACTCAAAAATGAGTATGGATTTATCAGGGAGAACGTTTTTTTTCGCTGCGATGCAATTTACTATTTCATAAAGGAAACGTTATACCTATTAAAAGAAAGAGAAACGAATGGAAAAAACGTCCCGCACGCAGTATCATTTAAAGAAACCGTGCACGTAAGTTACGATATGCGTTTGTTCGAAATGCTGTGCATGATTTACCTCCGTGGCGAGTCATTATGAAAATTTTAAGTATCAAGTCTCACGTATCACCCATGGAAAAAAATAAAATTCTGAAGAAGATCGAAGGACCACAAAATGTATTATAGAAGATTTGTATTTATGGGGCATGTTGTTGTTAGAGATCCTTGTAATCAACTCGTCCTTCACCTCTTGTCGGACCTTGCTGGTTATACTAGCAGGCGATCTGCGATCCACTTCCGATCAAAAAAATTCAGTTCTTTCAGTCTTAAGGAACTGGAAGAATACTGACATCATTGAAATGGAGACAAAAGACCTAAGAAGTCAAATGTTGGATGCTGAAATGTTGAATTGAATGTTTAGGTGGAACCCAAAGTGGTACGGGTTGTTTAGGCTAAAGGTGTAGCAGTGAAGAACTAACTTATTGGATCCTCTGTAGTTTTATTATGGGGTTAATTCTAGAAAAAAGTATCTAAAACTGTTAACATGGTGCGTGGAAGTACAGAATCCCTAGGCGTTTCCATTCAGTAGTGTTGTGCAACCTATCGTGTTTACAGATCATTAGAAACATCGAAGGTTCGGTTTTAAAATATTCAGTTACAGATTTAGCGCTGAATCATTGTTCTGGTACGTCCCATCGCATCCATCGTCCGTCGATTTCAATTAGCAGTACCCGATGAAAAGCAAACAGCCGCGGGCGCGGAGACCAAGTCGGCCGGCCGACGCGGCGTCCGGCCCCATTTACCGATTATTTATAACATAATTATACGTGCATTGTGACAGGGTGTTGTGAGTGTGCGTGGGACTTCGGTAGTCCCGAGCCGGACCACCGAGACGGGACCCGCTAATGCCAGTGATTATCCTGCACGGGGGAAGAGATCCGGCGATTCCACGTCCACCTCGATCTATGTGATCGATCGTCCGGAGATATCTGCGATAATATTTATGGATGTGGATGGTTGTAATAACGGCCGCGGGCCGTATGTCGGAATATATCACGGAATCGACGAGATTATTGCCGGTTGTTTGACGGCCGAAATCGAGCTAGATCAAATACATGTTTCGATGCTTTCAACACCTGCCCATCATGCTATTACCCATAAAATATATAGCTTCTAATGGCTATCCTAAACGGAAATTATTCTTGCGCGAGTACCTACGCGATAATTTAACAGAGACACTAACTTGAAATCGAGTAAATCGAAACGTTAGTTCGCGAAGCAATACCAATTTTTAATCCTCGCGAGATGAACGCCGTCGATAGTGTCTCCTGTAAAGTTTTTAGCGCTGCCATTAACAGAGACGAAATACCGACATAAAATTTTATAACGGCCATGTTTGCGTTTTTGTGTGAATAAATTTAGAAGCGTTCACACGTCTTTGATTAATGGGACATCTCTTTCGTTACACCCATGTTGATGTACCTGATGGCCACGGAAATTCTACGCGGGATATTCTACGAGTTAACTAATCTTACATGATCATACGGGAAAAAAAAACGGTCTTCGTTTGAATTTTAATTTCGTCGAGAACGACTGACCCACCACCAAGATAACTTTATGCAAATGTCTATTTGTTTTGGCTGTTTAGTACGAGCCGGAGAGTCAGGTTCTTTTTATTTTGATATAAATTCCATCGGGTCCGTGGTTCTATTCGAGTTGATGCTTTTATTGCTCGAAAACACCCATGTGGGTTGGATTTTATGCTCCCGTTAAGTGAATACAAAACATTCGGATAGGCGATGTGCATTCTTATGACCTTTGGGAGAAACAATGAATCGATTTAATTTCATTAATTTTTCTAAATTATTGATCGTATAAACTACCTACGTATATTTTACTTAATTTCTTGGAACGTTGAAGCATAAATTACAGCTAATTGAAAGGTTATGGCAAGAGGAGGAGAACTGATTAGAGGTATTTTGTCAAAATTATTATGATTTACTGAGGGAAACACCGTCGGAGAAATAATCTTACCTGCCTTCTACTTCAGCTATTTTAATGATGCTTTTATATGTTACATTCTCCATACAAATATTTACAATACACCCGAAATGATTTACTAATTCGACGAACGTTAATTTAAATTAGTGCTATGGAATATGGAATTAGTGATGGGACATTTCGGTCTTGAACGTTACAGGTAGCGATATCAAAAATTCCTGGCCACATTTACATACATTGAGATCGAGTTATGTAAATGAATTTTCGAACGGAGAAACAAAAAGAAGGACGATGCCGCTGAGCGAGAGCGCTACATTCAAATGTAATCTATTCGCGGCAGGTAGCCAAATAATTGGCTATCCCTAAAAGAGCACCTGCACTGTAGGGCGCAGTCATTCCTTATTATCCCATACCACCCAGTATGAGAGTAAATAAATGCTAATCAGTTAAATATCCGCCATGCATGTATCCGCCCTCAACGTACTTCTCAAATCTCTGTTTTAAATGAGCCATCGATAAATTTTACGTTCTCGAGCGAATTAAATAGATGTTAATGAAGATGTTAGATTAATTTCTTATCTATGCGTCTTGCACCTTCCAGCGTTCATTCCAGTTTTCGGAAGATTGGTTTTTGTATCGGCATTTTATTCTAATTTGGCTACAGTTTGAGCAAATTGCGCCCATACAGTATAATTAGACACCATTTACTTTACATATTAAATATTGCCATTGAACATAAACTTTAAAAATAAATTAAATTTGAGATGTATTTTATTGGCAAAGTAAACAATGTTTGCATAATTTTGAGATATTCCTCTTTGGAAGGATACCGTGGGCAGGCTATAAAAATATTATAGCTAAAAAAGTATATTAATTTATTCCCTACTTTCTACCCTAAAGGTATCGACAAAAACCTTATGTAAATTGTGTAATTACTTACAAAAACGTTATAATTACTGCACATCCTTAAAATTACTTAAAACAGCGGCGGGGTTGTTTTTTTGAACCTATTACCATCTTCTTCCCAAGCAAATACCATCAAATACTTTATAGTTTAAAAGGCTTTTTTGAAGA